AGGTTTGATCGTATCGGTTACCCTAGTTGTGTAGTTAACTATATTTAGATGTATCAGTTACACGAGTAGTGTGGTTATCTAGGTTTGATTGTATCGGTTACCCTAGTGGTGTAGTTAACTATATTTAGATGTATCAGTTACACAAGTAGTGTGGTTATCTAGGTTTGATTGTATCAGTTACCCTAGTGGTGTAGTTCACTATATTTAGATGTATCAGTTACACGAGTAGTGTGGTTATCTAGGTTTGATTGTATCGGTTACCCTAGAGTGATGTGTTTTAGAGGAGTTAGAATGTTCGTAAGCCACACTTTCATGTCGTTCTTCTTGTTTTGTAAAGGCAAAAGTTTCCAATATATTTATGATTAAACTGGCCAGTTGGTTCTTATACTGTTTCAAACTCACAGTCTGAACTATGAAGATTGTTCTGAAGTTAATTATGGGATCATTATAAACTTAGTGTCAACAACTGTTTCATAGAATCTGTGTTGATTTGATATCAAGCTTGGTATGAACTTCATATTAACGTGTTCGTTATAAATCCAGTGTCAACAAGCATGCTCTACAATCAATGGGAAAATATTATCAACCATTTTATATAACCTAAAGTATATCACCTAACATATATATCAGTACGTTTGTTATAAATTCATTATAGAAATAGTATTACAGACGCAGTGTTAATGTGTTAGAATGTTTGTGATAAAAGTAACATTAAATTTGCTGAAGAGTTAATGTTATAGAATCTGTGTTAAAGTGTTATCAAGCAAATTTGTTATGAAGTCATTACAGAAATAGTGTTAAAGAGTAAGTCTTAATGGGTATGCTATAGAATTAACGTTAATGTATTATCATGCTTGTTTTGAAATTAGTATTAAGTTTGTGATCAAGTTAGGGTCAACAAGAATGTTATACAATGAGTGTTAAAGTGTTAGCAGTCTTGTTATTAAATTATTCTCAAGACGCATGTCGTAGAATTGAATTTAATAAAGACATTTTTGTTAAGAAGTTTGTTTTTAAGAAGAGTTAAACTTTAATAAAGTTTGTTATAAAAGAGGAGTTAAACTTTAATGAATTTGTCATAAAAGAAGAGTTAAACTTTAATAAAGTTTGTTATAAAAGAAGAGTTAAACTTTAATAACATTTTTTATAAAGGAAGAGCTAAACTTTAATAAAGTTTGTTATAAAAGAGGAGTTAAAATCTAATAAATTTGTCATAAGAGAAAAGTTAAAATTCAATAAAGTTTGTTATAAAGGATGAGTTAAACTTTAATAAAGTTTGTTATAAAAGAGGAGTTAAACTTTAATAAAGTTTGTTATAAAGGAAGAGTTAAACTTTAATAAAGTTTGTTATAAAAGAAGAGTTAAACTTTAATAAAAATTTTATAAAGGAAGAGTTAAACTTTAATAAATTTTGTTATAAAAGAAGAGTTAAACTTTAATAAAGTTTGTTATAAAAGAAGAGTTAAACTTTAATAAAGTTTGTTATAAAAGAAGAGTTAAACTTTAATAAAGTTTGTTATAAAAGAGGAGTTAAACTTTAATAAAGTTTGTTATAAAGGAAGAGTTAAACTTTAATAAAACTTGTTATAAAGGAAGAGTTAAACTTTAGTAAAGTTTGCTATAAAAGAAGAGTTAAACTTTAATAAAGTTTGTTATAAAAGAGGAGTTAAAATCTAATAAAGTTTGTTATAAAGGATGAGTTAAACTTTAATAAAGTTTGTCATAAAAGAAGAGTTAAACTTTAATAAAGTTTGTTATAAAAGAAGAGTTAAACTTTAATAATTTTTTTATAAAGGAAGAGTTAAACTTTAATAAAGTTTGTTATAAAAGAGGAGTTAAAATCTAATAAATTTTGTTATAAAGGATGAGTTAAACTTTAATAAAGTTTGCTATAAATAAGGAGTTAAACTTTAATAAATTTTTTTAAAAAGGAAGAGTTAAACTTTAACTGTCTACCATCACAAGTGAGTACCACCTCCCGCCTAACCTCACAATTGGGTACCACCTCTTGCTTACCCTCACACGTGGGTATCACTCCCTGTCTACCCTCACAATTGGGTACCACTTCCTGCCTACCCTCACACGTGGTTACCACCTCCTGCCTACCCTCACACGTGGGTACCACCTCCTGTGCTAAGTCACAGCAACTTATTCCATAGTCTATCAGTATGGTACTAAATCCAGATATGATGTTTGTGATTCAGTCTGAGCACCTTTTCAGCATTCTCCTTCACGCAAATTCTTTTCTCCCGTTTTCTTCTAGTGGAGCAAAGTAGAACCCATGCTTCTCCAGTTCAAGCAGCTAAGATTTACAACAACACTATTCACACAAAAACGTACCATTGGCCATTTCAATTTTCGCTTAGGATCTTTCCATGATACCTTTCATGATTTTGATCAAAGCAGTCAACTCCACCCATTATTTTATGGTACTTTACAGTTATGAAAAGCTGGGTCACATCCACCTTGTCTTTTGATACTACACAGTAATTCCTACAAGTTGTTTTAGCAAGTACCACATTACCAGTATGGCTGGTTGCAATAGTAAATTGGCTGTTATCATTCCACATAAATATGGTTATTCCAGTAATAATATATTTTAGAACACTCGAATATCCCCCTTTTCCTTTTCTTTAGTGTTTTAGTGAAGCATTCTTCTGACAATCAGATCATATTGTTCCAGTAATCTTTATTGTGTTAGACTGTAATTGTTGTAGTCGGAGCAATGATGTAAAGAAACTTTCAGCAAATCCCTGGCTGTGTAGTGGTAAAATCCAACAACAATATTTTGGATAAATGAGCTTCCAAAAGTGATACTTTCTTCTTGCTGCTCTTTGCCTTCATACATCTTGAACTTCGTGTAATAACCTCCTGTAGCACAGATACACCAGGACTGAAATTCACATTTTATTAACTTTCCTCAAATATATTACTTCAAAGAGTGGTGATCAAAAAAGGTTCCATAGCCAAGTGTTTGAGATGGGATGGCAGAAGGACTGGAACTTCTTATTGAGATGCTCTAACAGTGGTCCTACCTTGTACACTATTAATGGGAATAAAAAAGGTATTTTAAGATTCATAAGAATCTATCTTTGGCATAACATTAACAACTGCAAAAACGTTTTTATCAGACTCACCTTATAATTTTCTGTTTGGCATTTGTAAATAGTAAGATAGCAACAAAATCCTAAAATATTTATACAGGTATTCCAGAATCACACTGAATATCTAATATTAATTTTGTTGAGCACAATGAACAGACTCCTCACAACTGCAACAGCAAATATTTTCTTCCCAAAACATCTGAAATATTTGTACTGGTTTAGCATCATCAGTCAACAACTTTGTGACAATAGCTGTGGGAGTGTAATCCACTAAATTTTATGAACAACATCACGTGGGACTTCTATGTACCACACAAACATCAGGTTTTACTGCGTGAGTAAATGCTGTTTAGCAGTATTTCTTGGAGGCTTTGCAGCAGTAGATGTAGAACGTTCTGGAATACCGGTGTCTTGTTGAAAAGATACCTGGAAGGAAAAATACAGAACTTAGAAATGTTTAGAAATTAATATTGTATTATAGGTGAAAGTTATAACACGAAAAACTAAAACATTAAAAAGTAAAATTAGAAATAATAAAATATACAATCTTGTCAACAGTAAATAGATCTTACCGAAGTCACAAGGTCTTTCATAGTTATTTTTAAAATATTATTACACTAACAATGTTCAGTTTTACAAATCTTAATACCATTTTAAAAATAACTATAGTTATTAAGAATTGTAAAACTGAACATTGTTAGTGTAATAATATTTTAAAAATAACTATAGTTATTAAGAATTGTAAAACTGAACATTGTTAGTGTAATAATATTTTAAAAATAACTATAGGTATTAAGAATTGTAAAACTGAACATTGTTAGTGTAATAATATTTTAAAAATAACTATAACTATTATACTCACAATGTTCAGTTTTACAATTCTTAATACCTATAGTTATTTTTAAAATATTACCTTTCGTGCAAAATTGGACATCACCTACATGCAAGCTCCATCATATTCCCTTGTTGCTGTAAACTAGAATGTTAAATAAAATCTTTAACAAAATAAAATAATCTTGGACACCCTAAATTACCTTTTCAATAAGATTTAATTTCCTCAAACTAAAATTACTTTTCCAAAAGTATCACGGTGATACTTTTTAATTATAATGTTTTTATAAGTCGGTGTCACAAAGGGTGTTCAGTGTTAACAAGTGCGTTATAGAAACAGTGTTAATGTTATGAATCTGGTTTGTTTATCAACAACCTTAACTCGTCTTAACATGCATCGTATGTACATCACATTGATGTTGTTGTTTTATTAATGCAAAGCTATACAAGAGAATGTCTGATCTCTGTTCATCACAAACTCCAGATGTAGCATTGTAACTCTGCATATCTTATTACTGACCAACTGGGGGGACACGACATGTTACGAGATGGAAATACGATTTATACTTTAGGACATATAAAAACCATCACGTACCTGATTTGCATAAATAATTGACTAGGGGAAATGAGACTATATTACTACAATACTTTCTCTTTGTCATAATTAAAAATAAAATCCACTTTCTGTTATTATTTTGGTATCTAAAGAGTGTATCCACTGTTATGTAGATATTGCGTAATTTGTATTTCGTATCTTAATCTCGATTTTTTATTTTATTTCCTCTCAGATTCCACCGAGATTCCTCCGATGCTATGTTCTCTGGAGATCTTAAAGCTAAGAGATATTTCCATAATGTGTTCTAGCTGGAAGGGCCGTGTGAATGTATGGTAATGATTCCGAACAGTTTTGGGTTAGCGATTGTTGTTTCGGCGTGTTTCTACTCTCAGCTGTGCCACTGTATCACCGAGTGTGTCGAGGGATGTTTGTGTAAGTGGAAACATGGGAAACAAACAGCTGAATGTGCTGACGCGTTTCTCACGAGTGTTCCTGCTGGCCTGAACAGCGAAACTCAGGTACTAGATCTTAGTGGGAACTTTTTACATACTCTCGCTGGCAGGGCTTTCCACTCAGTCAGACTGGTTAATCTACAGAAAATATTTCTAGCTCGGTGTGGCTTATCAGAAATTTCGGACGATGCTTTCTATCGTGTATCCAATTTGATTGAACTGGATTTAAGCGAGAATGACTTGAGCTGGGTACCCACTCTCAAAGACTGTTCACTTCTTCGTCGGTTACAACTTAGTCACAATCCTATTCAGCATTTATTAAATAACTCTTTCTCAAGCCTAACTCAACTAACTACTCTGGAGATGAGCAACTGTCGGATTCACACTATTGGGCCTAGCACATTTAGTGGACTTAAACATTTGGAATATCTTCGCCTTGATGGAAACAGACTCTCTTACCTCTCGGGCAAAGTTGTTCAACCTCTCCTAACCTTGTACGCCTTAGACCTACATAATAATCCGTGGATATGTGACTGTAGAAATAGTGGCGTGAGGAGATGGATGATATCCATGAACGTTCCCTTCTCGATTCCTCCTCGATGTCAACAACCGCCCTGGGTCCAGGGTATAACCTGGGACCTCATGGATATCGATGACTTTGCCTGTTCTCCCAAGGTAATTGGAGTGGACACAAAATCCTCGATTGTTGAAGGACGAAACGCTACATTACGCTGTAAAATAAGATCTGTTCCAAGTGCAAAAATCACTTGGCTATGGCAAGGGAGGATCATTAAAAATCTCTCTTTGATGTCGTTTGGGCAACAGATGTATCTTATAGAGGAAAGAGGTAAGGACGAGAAGGAGAGCATTTTAACAATAATCAATGTGATGATGAAAGACAGTGGTCGCTACGTGTGTGTGGCATCAAACCACGCGGGTAACGTGACGGTGAACGTGACAGTTGAAGTTAATCCTCGAGCTACTGTTGACACAGCAATAAGTGGAGGCGAGATTGCAGGAATTATAATTGGTTTGTTTCTAGTGATCTCCCTCTGTTTTGTTATGGTCTGTTTCCTTGCTGTGTACCGTAGAAGAATTCCGTCAGAGGAACGAAAGAGTATAGGAATTAAGTTGTATAAGAATTTCGATTCGGTAAAACAAAACCACGTGGAACTTTCAACGTTAAATAATGGAGTAGTCGAAGACGAAGAAGCCGGACCAGACAGACAGAAACAGGGGAACAGCGGCTATTCTTCAGATGGCACAGCAAGCATGCCGTCTCAGGCTGACCATGACGATGTTAATAGTTCTTCAACTGGACTCAGTCAGAAGATAGCCAATCCGGACTCTGTCCTAACCAGCCTTGTAGACCTGCCATGCGATGTTCAGCTCTATAGTCCGTTATCAGCACCAGAGCCACGTGATTCTGACACGTGGAGGTACGCCTTAGGCGAAGACGGAGATGACAGCTCTTTCTGTGCCAATGATGAAGATCATTGTGAGAAAATGTTGTCCTCGTCAAACCCCGACCCTCAACAGACGCACAATGACAGAACTCTGCCAAAAGATTATCTGGGAAGTGATCAAAACTTATTGGCGCCATCTCACAACAGCTTTGCTCATTACCTTTTTAAGCCAAACTATTTTCACCTCGACCTGACCTCCGAAGCGCGAGATTCCCCGGACGAAGGACTCGGAGATGAACGTGAATATGAAACGGATATTTTGGAATAAATAGAGCTAATTACGTCTATTAACTCTTAGTTTGGTGACCGTTTAACCAACTCAACGTTTGACTTATGGAATTTTTAAAGAAACGCTGCTTGAGGATAACTTTTGCTGAGTCACTCCTGCAGGTAATTTTAATTACTTCAGAAAATCTGTAGTATTTGTTAAAATATGTAATTTTATGAGCTATATTGTAACAGCTGTAGTGTATTGTTTGTAATTCTATATTATACAGAGAAAATATATTGAGCCTTGCTATTTGTTAGTGTGACCGTGCAGATCAAAATCTTATTATAAATGTTGTTAATGTTGTGATGAATATATCGCGAACTTATGTTAATAGTAAAATATGTTTACACACAACCTTGTCCAAATGTTATCTTTGTTAAAATAGCATACAAGGTTAAGGCGCTGGAGTCCTGATCCGAGGATGGCAGGTTTGAACTCCAGTCTCACCAAACTTATTCGCCTTTTCAGCATTATCCTGTGACTGTTAATCGAGCTATTTGTATATGCTAATAACAGTAGTGATATACTCGATCTCATACAGTATGAGCCAAATATATCTACAGTTTCACGTGGGAAAAACGACCACTTATCTATCTGGTGTGTCTTCGATCTCACTCCGCCCCCCTACAAAAAGGCAAATTGGATAAATTGATTGTTACCACAATACCAAGAATAACAAATTAAATACATGACATCTTAAATATAAATATAAAACAATATTTAAATACATAAAAAATTAAATATAAAACAGTATATATAAATATAAAATAAATTGAATATAAAACAGTATATAAATATATAACAATATGAATATAAAATAGTATAAAATATATAACAAATTACATATAAAACAGTATATGAATTTATAACAAATTACATATAAAACAGTATACAGATATATATAATAAATTAATTATAAAACAGTATATACAAATATAACAAATTAAATATAAAACACTATATAAATAAATAATAGATTAATTATAAAACAGTGTATAAATATATATATAACAAACTAAATAGAGAATAGTAAATAAATATAAAATAAACTGAATATAAAACGGGATATAAATATAAAATAAATTAAATATAAAATGAGATATAAATATATAACAAAATAAATATAAAACAGCATATAAATATATAACAAATTAAATATAAAACAGTATATAAATATATAACAATATAAATATGAAACAGTATATAAATATGCAACCAATTAAATATTAAATATGCAACAATATAAAAATATATAACATTATAAATATAAAACAGCATATAACTATATAAAAAATTAAATATAAAACAATATTTAAGTATATAAAAAATTAAATATAAAACACCATATAAATATATAATAGATTAATTATACAACAGGATATATATATATATTAAT